TGTTCCTCCAAATTGTTGCTTCCTTCATCAGCCAGTTTGATGTTTTTTGCTTTTGTTTCACCTGTAAAGTTTCAACAACAAAAAAATGTATATATATTTAGTTTTTAAAAATTATTTTATTTCTTTTTTTTTAGTTTTCTTTTAAGCTAAATTAAAGATGAAAAATTGTACCTTTGCACATGTCATCACATGCTGTTCCATCGAATTCTCTTTCCTTCTCTTCTGCAAATGCATTGTTTGATGCAAATGTAAAATTGCTATCCTTTCTAGAATTGAAATAAATACAATTTAATAATTAAGTAATCTGTCAATATTTAATTGTATTTATTGAAATTTATTTTAATATAATAATATATACATACCTGTAGTGTCTAACATGACCATCGAGGAAGATCATGTCCGAATAATAGTCCCAGGATGCTGACTGATTGTCACTCGTTTCTCCCGATCCACTTGGAACATATTTATTCAGTTTTTTATGTTCTTTCACGAATTCTGTTTTCAATGACGTCCACCTTTGCTTTAGTACATCTACTGTAAAGAAAATGAACAAATTTCTTTTCAAGTTATATTATCAATTAAAATTTTCAGCAGTATTAAATAACAAAAATGTTTCTCGAGTTCCATGGAACTGTTTAACTGTAGTTAACCAATTTAAAAATTAAAAAATATGTTTTTTCGTCATGAAATATAGTATATTCTAAAAAAATTTGTGTTTAAAAAACTTTTTATTCTCAATACTTTTTAATAATATATCAGCTTTTTGTTGTTAACCGTCAAGTAATCACATAAATTACTTCTTAACATTATTTGTTTTTAAAATGTTAATTCTAACAAATAGTATTTTGAATGTCCCAACAAATAGAATTCTTTAAATTTAGACATTGGATCTAAGTTTTATGATTATATTTTGAAATGTATTTTTTTAATTATTCATTTTTTCATTAAATTATCATTTTCCTACAAGAAGTAAGAGATACTTATTTTAATTTGTTTATAAAAGATGAAAACATTGAGAAATGAGAATAAAAAATGAATTGTTGAAATTTCTTCGTTTTTTATTAATAAATTCTTTACTTTTAATAAGCAAAAGGTGAAAAATTACTAAAAAGGGGAAAAAGGGGACAAATCATCAAAAAAAGGTGAAAATGAGAACAAATTTGAAAAAAGGGGACTATCACATTTCCTCGACTTTTATAGCTACCCTGATAAAGGTTATGTTTCTTCTATGCATTCATGTGTACAGCTCAAATTGTACACAGAGAATTTATAATATACATGCATAGATAAACAATTACAAGTATCATTTTTTCATTTATTTTTGCATTTATAAAATTTTGTATATATAAAACTTACGCATTAACAAAGTTTGCGATTTCTTCGCCAATAATATTTTAATAAATATATCTTAAATAACTTTTAAAACTTACCACTTTCTTCTTCATTGCAAAGGAAATTATACCTTTCGGCAATTTTATCCCATGCTTTTTGTTTTTTTACACTGTTTTTGTAATCATCAAGTTTTTTGTTGTACAATACAGGATGCTTCTCTACTAAATTCATAATTATTAAATTTTTATCTATATCAGAGGAATCTACTTCCATCATTTTAATAAAAGAAACTGATTTCAATAGAAAAAAAAAACTTAAAAGTACAATAAAACTGTTTAAATGCGTGTTAAATAATATAAAGCTATTACTATCGAAAACTTGAGATAATATTAGGAAGAAAATGTTGCATCCAGTGATTGCAGCAGAATGTGTTCGTAGTAGGTAAAATGGCGGTAGTATCATTTCCACTACGCTTGCGTCAATTGTGTCAATTCCTTATTGGCTTTCAACATTTTGTGACACAAAGTTTAAAATTATTTTATAGCATTTGTAAACTATTCATGCTTTGAACCAATAATTCTGCAATTATTATTAATATCATTGAAAAATTTCTAAAATATAATCATATGTAATCCTAGCCATATGGAGCATTGACATTTTTCTTTAACCTTCGCTTGACAAGATGCCCACCCAGGGTGGGCCAGACAAATTGAAATTGCCATATCTTCTAAAGTTTTGCCTTAATTGAATTGCGATTTTAAGTCACTGAACAAAATCTTAAGAACTTTCAAAAAATGTAAAAACAAATTTTTAAAAAAAATTTCTTCTTGATTATTTATAACTTTTATCAATGTATGTACGGAGATAACCGGGATGATTCAGATATTTTTTTAATTCTATTTTACAAAAAGACTTGAAATCATGCAGACTTTTCACTGTGAGTGTTTTATGATGTCAAATAATAGATATAAAAAATATTATATTGCATTTTTCATTTGTTTAAACAATTTATTGTTATTATTTATTAACTTTCTCTGTTCTGCACCTAGAAAGATGCAGTTTTTTTCTAATTTTGCAATTTATCAAGCCGAATATAATAAAAGATAGATTTGATGTAAAATTATTAATTCAACAATTGTTTAAACAATTTATTGTTGTTATTTACTAACTTTTTTTGTACGGCACCTGGAAAGTTGCCGTTTTTTTCTAATTTTGCAACTCATCAAGCCGAATATAATAAAAGATAGATTTGATGTAAAATTGTAAATTCAACAATTGTTTAAACAATTGTTAAATTAGTAAATTTATGTCAAATCTGTTTGGCTATATTATATTCGGTTTGATAAATTGCAAAATTAGGAAAAAACTGCATCTTTCTAGGTACACTACAAGAAAGTTAATAAATAACAACAATTATTTGTTTAAACAATTGGTTAAATAGTAAATTCATATAAAATCTTTGTGTTATTATGTTGAGCTTGTTAAGTTGCAAAATTAGAAAAAAATTGCAACTTTCTTGGAACATTATAAAGAAAGTTAATAAATAGCAACAATTATTTGTTTAAACAATTTATAATAATAGTTGTTGCAAATTGAATTATATATTTTATTTTATTTATAACCTTTGAATTAATAATTACGAAGAAAAGGTAACAAATTTATAAAATTCTTCTACTGTCGTATGTATATTTGAAAAAGTTATAAATTATTAATAATAAATTGTTTAAACAAATAAAAAATCAACAAAACATTAATAAAATATATTATTTGGTAACATATAACAATTTTGGAAAAAAACTGAATGATTCTAAGTTTTTATTGCAATATACAAAGAAGAAAACATTTGGCCCACCCTGGGTGGGATCTTGTCAACCGTGTATATAAAAAGTATCCAGTCCGGCGAAGGTTAAAAATAAACGAAAGAACAAGATTTAACATGGCCTTTAGCGCCATATGATTTCATTATAAGGCAACATTGTGTTTAAACCCTTATGGAATTTAACCTTTCTATTGCACTTTTGTTTACTTTTGTGAATTTCGCTTCGTATAAAACTTTGAGTTATGTATTTTATTGTTTTTTAAGTTATCGGAAGTTCATTTGTTGTTCAACATGGACATAGTTCCTATTTTGTATACTTCTTTATCTTTTTTGAGGGTTGTAAAATTGTATATTGAATTGAAGAAGAAAAAGAAACATTTTCGCAGATGGTGGGTTAAACCACACATTAATGTAAATGTGCGAAATAGATTTGGCGCATTTACAACTATTTTTACGTATTTTAAAGCGGAGGATCATGAAGAATTTCATAAATTATATCGATTGACAGTCGAACAATTTGATGAGTTATACGAGATGATTAAACCTAGGATTCAAAAGTCGACTCTGCTGCGAGAACCAATAGATCCCGAATTAAGATTAGCAGTTACTTTGCAGTAAGTATTTAAAATTACATTTTAATTACTTTGTTATCATTTATTGAAATGATGTTTTAACTTATTCATAAAATGTTCAAGTTAGAAAAAAGTGAATTGCATCATCAAATTTGAGTATTAAAATGATTTAAAAGCAGTTGAATTTATGGTCAAATAAGATTGATTGCAACTCACTTTATCCTTCAACCAATTTGCTGCGAATTTAATGACTAAAATCTTATGATTTATTTTTAAAGTTATTCTTTTGATTGCGTCTTGCATTTTCAACAATAGTCTTTGTTTATATGTAATGACTGTAGGGTAAAGGCAATAATTGTCGAGAGTGTACCATTTGTCGAGTAAACAAATTTTTTTTTTTATAAACATCGAATCACATTGTAAATTATTAATAATGATAAATATTATAATTATTATGTGTTGTGAATGTGAATTCTAATGTATAAACTTTAATTTCAATAACAAAATAACTTTTAAAATTAATATTTTAGGTTGTTACCATGATAACTCGACAAATGGTACACCCTCGACAATTGGTTTTTTTTTGTACATAAAGCTACATTCATCTTAAATCTTAAACAAAAAATTTAATTAAAGTCTTCATTGAACATTACTGTACATTTACAAATGTATTCTAGTCGTAAAGAATTTTTTCTTATTATGTTGCAGTTTCTTAGGACATGGTGATAGCATTTTTACATTATCAAAGATGTACTTCATAGGACTATCGACATTATACGAAGTTATCGATGAAGTATGCGAGCAAGTATGGAATGTTTTATCACCAATATACCTTCCAGAAAAAAAAATTCAAGACTGGATTGAAATAGGAGAAAAGTATGAAAGCCGTTGGAATTGCCCTAATTGTCTAGGGGCGCTTGATGGAAAGCACATTAGAATTAGTAAGCCTCCAAGATCTGGTTCAGCTTTCTATAACTACAAAAAGTACTACAGCTTTGTTTTGATGGCAATCTGTGATCCAGAATACCGTTTTACTTGGGTTGATATAGGAGATTATGGTGAACACTTTTTTCTGCAAAGAATGTTTTTGTCTATTATCATGAATAATTTATAAATTATGTGTTATTATTTTAATTTTAATTATACATATTACAGGATCTCTAAATGACGCAAGCGTGTTCAATGCGTCGGGATTTGGACAAGAATTAGAAGCAGGAAGATATCCTCTTCCTGAACCAATACCTTTGTCTGGAATGAATGACCAAATTCCGTATTTCTTCATTGGGGATGAAGCTTTCGGTTTGCGATCATATCTAATGCGGCCATATTCAAGGCGAAGTTTAAAACACGATGCACACAAGTTATTCAATTATCGGTAAGTACAAATAAATAAAAAATTTAAAAAAAATTTTAAAAAACACTTTTTACAGTTTGTCTCATGCTCGAATGACAATTGAAGATTCTTTTGGAATTCTTACAACTGTTTGGCGAATTCTGCAAACAACACTGAACTTAAAGTTACGGACTTCAATTAACATAGTCAAATGTTTGTTGTGTTTACACAATTTTTTATTGTCGAAGGAAGCGCAAGAGCCAGAAGAACATAAAAAGTATGCAACTGAAAAGTTGATGCGGAAAATTAGAGAAAATTATAAGTGCAATCAAGATTTTAATGAAAATTTTGGACGACAAGAAGATGAGAATGAAGAAGAAGATGAAGAAGGTGAAGAAGATGCCGAAGATGAAATAGGAAGAAATAATGATGACAATTATGATATCGATGGACGAAACCAACAGGAAAAAAAGAAAACTAAGAAAAAAATTTGTCCTAAAGGACAAAAAGTAAGAAAAATTCTGTGTGCATATTTTGAAAAGCAAAGCAATTTAATGTAATTTAATGATTTTTTCAAATACAGTAAAGACAAACGGTGTTATTTATGATGGAAGACATTTATAATAACAAAACATTATGCATATGCTTTAAGATAAAAAAAATATGTTTATAAAAAAATTTTAAGTTATAAATGTTTACTTAATCTAGTTGAATGAACTTTAATACTGTTCATCATATCTTGTAATTGTATAATTGCAGTTTGTTTAACATCTTAATATTTAAATCTATGTAACATAAAATTTATGTAACTTTCATATTTTTTGATCAACATTTTTATACTAATCTATAAAGTTTGAAAACAACGCAATCTTTAAGAGATAAGTTAAAGAAACTCAGCATCATACATAATATATTAAATTCGCTCCATAACATATTTAAAGGCCTCTGTACTACCTGTCATATTTATCAAGGACAACATTTCTAATAACAAAACATTACGCTTATGTTTTAAGATAAAAAACTATGTCAATAAAACATTTTTAAGTTATAAATATTTGCTTAATTTAATAAAGAATTTTATACTGTTCATCATACTCTGTAATTGTATGATTGAAGTTTGTTTAACATCTTAATATTCAAATCTGTATAACATAAAATTAGTGTAACTTTTAGAAGTCTTGCTCAACATTTTTATAATAATGTATAAACTTTAAAAACAACGCAATCTTTAAAAGATAAGTTAAAGAAAATCTCATTTACAAGTCCAAATTAAAATCAAAGTTAAATAACCTCAGCATCATGCAGAATATATTCCAGTTGCTCCATAACATATCCAAAGGCCTCTCTTTTTCTTGTTTGAGGTATTCTTCTAAAAAAGTTAATTATTTCTTCTTCGTAGCCATCTTGTAATGTAGGTGATGATGCCATGTTCACTGCAGCTTCATTTGTAACCATTTGTTTATTAAAATTTAAAATTTGTTTTTTCGCGTAGTAATTAGTAGCCATTTTCGTAAATTTCTCAAATGTATTCACAGCCCCTTCAAATTTAATTTCACATCCATCAATACTGACTCTATTTCTTCTTGCAAAATTATCGTGAGGCGGATGGACACCTGTATATAAACAGTTGCAAAAATAAAGAGATATTAGTTTTTAAATTCTATTTTTTTTTATAAAAAATGTTTTATGTTAAATTAGAATTTCACATTATAATTGATTTGATTATTATAAATAAGATCATTTATGGGACTCAAATATTGATTTTTAAAATATTTATTATAATTTACCTCTTTCAACAATTCCGGTTCTGGCCTGTCCAGGATTTTGAAAGTTTGCAGTAACAATGTTATTGAAATCTGAAGATTTTTTAATTTTCAAATTTGTAGTTGCAGTTTGAATTTTTCGTTTTATTAGAATTTTAGCTAAGGTAGATTTTGTCGAAGTTTGAGCTTCTTGGACTTGTTTTTCCTTAAATTTATCTAATTCTACTCGATCTAAAAGTAATTTCACATCTCGGATTGATCGCTAACAATATTTTGAGCAATTCCGATTTGTATCATTGTCTGGATCAGATTTATCAGCATGTTGTGAATGTTCATTTTCAACCAAATTTTTCGAAATTTGATTTACTTCATGGGCTGTAAAAAATGTAGTATGTTTATTTATTAGTTCCAATAAGAAAGGGTTTAATAAAGTTTTAATATTCTGATGTACAGAACCAGAAATGCAATAACAAAAATCTTCAGTCATTACAATTTTGCATATAATCTATATCATTTGGTATTAATATTATTCAGTTATCATACCTGCGTTGTATTCACCAATATTTTCGTTAATAGGTAAATCTCTATTATCAGAAGAAAAATCCTCAATATTAAACGCAGAAGTCGTTGGTTGATCTGAAAATCAGTATGCATTTTTAAAATCAAAAGAAAATTATGACATCCTATTAAAATATTGAACTTTTGTAAAAAAAAACATTCTCCATCTACTGGCATTTTGATTCTTCATATTATCTCGTTTTATTATTTCCTTTAATTCGCGAAAAATTTCTTGAGATGCAATAGCTGAAGTATCAGCTTGTGATTGTGTAGAAATTACCGTATTTAATGAAGAACAACTTGAGGCATCACTCAAATCTTCATTTTTTTTAATGAGTCGCTTGACACTATAAAAAAAATTATTTATTACACAATAAGAATACAGCTTTGCATTTTATTTTTTAGATAACCGAAAATAACTTTACTTAAAAAGAAGAAGTACATGATTCCAAAAAAATTTAAATTATAAGTAACAGGAAATTTTTCAATTGATCATTTCATTTGTATATTAGATTTACAAAGGTCTTTATTATATAAAATAACATTTTCTTAATTCTTGACTAACTGAAAATGGAGAAAATTAAGAATAGAACAAAATTGTGATAAAATTAGAGCAAAAAACATTTACTGTACTTTATTATATTATTTTATCGTATCAAGCAGCAATAATTGTTATTTATACCTTTCATTTTTTTCAACATGACCAATGTGTGGCATCAAAAAGAGCAACTGCTTTCTATATTTGTAATTAATTTTTTTTCTGTCAGCTCGAACAAATCCATCCCTAATACTAGTCCATCTTGTTTGAATTTCATCAACTATAAAAATAATACATATATTTTTTTAAAAATATTACTGCAATTTAACAAACATTATATGTAAGTAAAGTACCAAATAACTTACCTGTAATTTCATCATATCCTGCTTTTTTTATAATTTCACAAATTTCATCCCATGCATTTTTTTTGGCAACAGAATCTCGACTAAATTTTTTATCATACAAACACACTTTCTTCGCAACATTTTCTATTAAAATCGAAATTTTATGACACTCACTTCCCGGAACAGGAGCTGTCATTTTTCACATGAATAAATGTTTACAGTTATTAAGAAGATAATAAAAACAAAAAGACTTTTAATACTAAATAATCGCAATAGTAAATTTAAAGTTTTAACGATACTCTGAAGAAACATAAACAAATGTTAAGTTAGATTCACAGCGCCACACATTTAACGCACTAATGCCAACTCTCAAAAAAGATAAAATAGTTTACAAAGTAGGAACTATGTTGCACTATACCAAAAATTGTTCTAAAAGAACAACAAATGGACTTCCGATAACTTAAAAAACAATAATATACATAACTCAAAGTTTTATACGAAGCGAAATTCACAAAAGTAAACAAAAGTGCAATAGAAAAGTTAAATTCCATAAGGGTTTAAACACAATGTTGCCTTATAATGAAATCATATGGCGCTAAAGGCCATGTTAAATCTTGTTCTTTCGTTTTTTTTTAAAGAAAAATGTCAATGCTCCATATGGCTAGGATTACATATGATTATATTTTAGAAATTTTTCAATGATATTAATAATAATTGCAGAATTATTGGTTCAAAGCATGAATAGTTTACAAATGCTATAAAATAATTTTAAACTTTGTGTCACAAAATGTTGAAAGCCAATAAGAAATTGACACAATTGACGCAAGCGTAGTGGAAATGATACTACCGCCATTTTACCTACTACGAACACATTCTGCTGCAATCACTGGATGCAACATTTTCTTCCTAATATTATCTCAAGTTTTCGATAGTAATAGCTTTATATTATTTAACACGCATTTAAACAGTTTTATTGTACTTTTAAGTTTTTTTTTTCTATTGAAATCAGTTTCTTTTATTAAAATGATGGAAGTAGATTCCTCTGATATAGATAAAAATTTAATAATTATGAATTTAGTAGAGAAGCATCCTGTATTGTACAACAAAAAACTTGATGATTACAAAAACAGTGTAAAAAAACAAAAAGCATGGGATAAAATTGCCGAAAGGTATAATTTCCTTTGCAATGAAGAAGAAAGTGGTAAGTTTTAAAAGTTATTTAAGATATATTTATTAAAATATTATTGGCGAAGAAATCGCAAACTTTGTTAATGCGTAAGTTTTATATATACAAAATTTTATAAATGCAAAAATAAATGAAAAAATGATACTTGTAATTGTTTATCTATGCATGTATATTATAAATTCTCTGTGTACAATTTGAGCTGTACACATGAATGCATAGAAGAAACATAACCTTTATCAGGGTAGCTATAAAAGTCGAGGAAATGTGATAGTCCCCTTTTTTCAAATTTGTTCTCATTTTCACCTTTTTTTGATGATTTGTCCCCTTTTTCCCCTTTTTAGTAATTTTTCACCTTTTGCTTATTAAAAGTAAAGAATTTATTAATAAAAAACGAAGAAATTTCAACAATTCATTTTTTATTCTCATTTCTCAATGTTTTCATCTTTTATTAACAAATTAAAATAAGTATCTCTTACTTCTTGTAGGAAAATGATAATTTAATGAAAAAATGAATAATTAAAAAAATACATTTCAAAATATAATCATAAAACTTAGATCCAATGTCTAAATTTAAAGAATTCTATTTGTTGGGACATTCAAAATACTATTTGTTAGAATTAACATTTTAAAAACAAATAATGTTAAGAAGTAGGGTCAGTCAGGGTAAATCCGAACGGGGGGTAAATCCGAACGCTAATTATTTCAGCTTAATTAAAATTTTTAAAAATAAGTTCGATATGAGAATTTTTACCTCAGATCCTCTTGAAGAGATTCTAAGTATTATCCCATTTTTTGTTTGTTAATTAGCAACAGCATAAACAAAGATAACAAGTATTGCAAAAAAGATTGAAAATCAAAGATGACACTCTTTCAGTATTTTGTCTCGTATTTGAAGAAAAAGAAGCTAAAAATTCATTTTATTATTTATAATTGTTTGTTATGAATACTAGAACAGAAACTATATTTGATTTTTGCCTTCTGTAAAATTTTATTAATAATATCAGACCGTTCGTATTTACCCAAGAAAATTGGAAAACTGGGGTAAATCCGAACGGTATTTTTAATAATTTTTTTTTACATCAAAGCCACACAAAATTGTTTTTATTTGATTACACTATTATTTTAACATTATAAAAGTACATAGAAAAAAGTTTTTCTTTCTATACGTATCCTCCTTAGTAATTAATAAGCAGAAACTTAATCTC